AGCCCGTGACAGCTGACTAACTCCCAGGTACCTATTTACTGCTAGGTAACAGGGGGCATTCAGGGTGAAAGAAACTTTGCCCATTTGTTTCTGCCTCGTGCGGGAATCGAACCCGCGCCACAGAATTACGAGTCCTGCACGCTATCCACCAGGCTACGAGGCCCCCTCCTCTGTGTGTGTGTGTGTGTGTGTGTGTGTGTGTGTGTGTGTGTGTGTGTGTGTGTGTGTGTGTGTGTGTGTGTGTGTGTGTGTGTGTGTAGTGTGTGTATTCACCTAGTTGTGCTTGCGGGGGTTGAGCCTTGCTCTTTCAGCCCGCCTTTCAACTGTCAATCAATCAACTGTTACTAACTACTAACTTATTTGTTTTTTTACACACAGAAACACACACATCTAGGCAGAGGCAGACTTCATACACAGTTTCAAATATTTATTTGATAGAGCCCAGTAGGCTCAGGAATCTGTACACCAGTTAATTGACAGTTGAGAGTCGGGACCAAAGAGCCAGAGCTCAACCCCCTGCAAGCACAACTAGGTGAGTACAGTAGTTAGTGCATGGCCCCCACACGTCCCGCCTACACTAGTCTGGTCGCAGACACTGATTAGTCCATTTCTAAACTTTATGATCTTCAATGCTTAGGAAATTAACGTGGGACGACCTTACGGGTGCTATGAAGTTTCTACGAGACCAAAGGTCTTCTCTATTACCCTCAACTGCGAACCCCTCACTACTACGTCAATCCCCTCCCCCCCCTACTGCTCAATCACCCTCACTCCACCGATGCCAATGACCTTGAAGTCGACACGAAAGGGTGAACGAGACCAATCATCCCATCAAACTAATGACCCTACCATCACCCCCAGCCCCCCATAACAACCCAGCCTCCTGAAATGAAAGTACTCGTAGTAACTATCTGGTAGAAAGTACCAAGATGTAGTGATGGACCTCCAGTAAACCACTTTTTTTTGTATTATTAACTGTTTGGAATGCGGACAAAATCAAGCTAAAAAGTAACTTAAATATCCCTAGGGCTAGCAAATATATGTACGATATTCGACCTAATATAGTACATATTAAGATGTACTCAACCCAAGCGTATATTAGGCCTAGGATTGTAAGGTAGGTCAGGTTTGTTAAAATACAATTGTCACCCGCCTGGCGGTCCATCACTACATACTCGTACTTTACACCAAATATTTAATATAAGTACTTTGAATTTTAGAGGATGGGGTGCCCAAAATCCCACCCCTTCCCATCCCCTGCCTCCATCCATCCATCGTCACACCGCCCCATCCACCGCCCCCATCCCCCACTACCCTCATCACCACAAGCTTCAGTGAATCAAGAAGCCTTGAACTCTGTGACGTAAGACTTCTGTATTCGCTGGAGAAACAGCTTAACCCAGTTTAGTGTCTTCTCAATAAATGGGAAGCCTCTAAGCTGGGAGAGGGAATACCTGCAGGATTGAAAACAAAGTGTCACAGTCAGAGAGGTGGCGACGAGCCTCAGGAATGTGACGAGTGGGGAGGGGTAAACACCCCCCTCCCCCCAGGGCACACTCTCGTGACCAACGCTGTTTATAATTGGTGTTAATGACCTACCCATGGGAGCTCACCCGTGGGGGCTCACGCGTGGGGGCTCAACCGAGGAGCTCACCCGAGGGAGCTCACCCGTGGGGGCTCACCCGTGGGGGCTCAACCGAGGAGCTCACCCGTGGGGGCTCACCCGGGGGTGCTCACCCGTGGGGGCTCAACCGAGGAGCTCACCCGTGGGGGCTCACCCGGGGGGGCTCACCCGTGGGGGCTCACCAATGGTGGCTCACCCGTGGGGGCTCACCCGAGGGGCTAACCCGTGGGACCTCACCCGTGGGGGCTCACGCGTGGGGGCTCACCCGTGGGGGCTCACCCGGGGGGGCTCACCCGTGGGGGCTCACCCGTGGGGGCTCACCCGGGGGGGCTCACCCGTGGGGGCTCACCCGGGGGGCTCACCCGTGGGGGCTCACCCGTGGGACCTCACCCGGGGCTCACGCGTGGGGGCTCACCCGTGGGGGCTCACCCGGGGGGCTCACCCGTGGGGGCTCACCCGTGGGGGCTCACCCGGGGGGGCTCACCCGTGGGGGCTCACCCGGGGGGGCTCACCCGTGGGGGCTCACCCGGGGGGGCTCACCCGTGGGGGCTCACCAGTGGTGGCTCACCCGGGGGGGCTCACCAGTGGTGGCTCACCCGTGGGGGCTCACCCGAGGGGGCTCACCCGTGGGGGCTCATCCGTTAGGGCTCACCCGAGGGGCTAACCCGTGGGGGCTCACCCGTGGGCGCTCACCCGTGGGGGCTCACCCGTGGGGGCTCACCCGTTGGGGCTCACCCGAGGGGCTAACCCGTGGGACCTCACCCGTGGGGGCTCACCCGAGGGAGCTCACCCATGGGGGCTCACCCGAGGGAGCTCACTCATGGGGGCTCACCCGAGGGGCTCACCCGTGGGGGCTCACACGTGGGAGCTCACCCATGGGGGCTCACCCGTGGGGGCTCACCCGAGGGAGCTCACCCATGGTGGCTCACCCGAGGGTGATCACCCGTGAGGGCTCACCCGAGGGAGGGAGCTCGTATACATGCCAATGTCTGCAGATGATACAAAGATAAAATATTCAACATGGGGCCAGCAATCAACACGTCACAAAGATTAGCAACAAGATAAGGCCATAACTAAGGGGGCCATAACTGCTATGAGAACAGCTTCAAGACGTTATATCTCACAGTCGTAGGGTAGATAAGGGGATATGCTACAAAATAATAATAAGCATTCAAGATAGCGAGGGAAATACACAGAGTGCACATTTATAATATTATTAAATAAAAAGAAAGTAGGACGAGTGGACACAGGTGGAAACTGGAAATGAAAGTAAGATGAAGGAATGAAGGGAAATACTCGTACCCCGTACGGGGGGTCAACAAGTGGAATGTACTGAAGGAATAAGTCGTGGAAGCCACCTCCATCCACTACTTTAAGGGCCAGAGTCCACAACGACTTCGGTCAAACCACACACTTGCGAAGCGACAGGTGCAACTGGGCCAGTATTGGCGGGACATGAAGTGCTATAGAGCTTCCCCTGTAGTCACGAATAGGTAAGAAATACAACACCCACCACCCCGCCCCGTCACATCGAACCCTCCCTGATCAGTGTAATATAGTGCTTAGAGACGTTTCAAAAGCCTTCGACAAAGTGTGGCACACAGGCCTAAAATATAAGATATCTGAACTAGGACTTCCTGAGAGATTTACTGCTACTCTCTGCAGCTTTATAGACAACAGAACTGCTAGGCTTAATATCGGCAGCTACTTGGGTGACGTAATAGAACTGAAAAGTGGAGTACCACAAGGAAGCTGCCTCTCCCCCACTCTATTCAACATATATACAGCTGACCTGCCCCAACCCCAACATGGAGAATACACCACATACGCTGACGATGTCACCGAAATAATTTGCCAACCGGGACCATCAAAGCCGCTACCAGCCGACAAGACCAAGGCGGCAATTGAACTCATAAACAACTTTGAGAAGTAATGGAAAATTAGCACCAACAAACAAAAGTTTCAGATAATACACAATGCGAAAAGAAACCCGGACCCCATCATCCTTGACAACCATCCGATCCAATATGCGGAGGTAGGCAGAATACTGGAACTTAGATAAATAGAACAGGGATACAAATTCACGTAAGGGACCGACTAAACAAAGCCAAAGCAGCCTTAGAGCATTAGGAAAACTGAGAAGATTCCGAAGCCTCAGTACTAACATTCAGATCCACCTATATAAGGCTCTAGTTCGGCCGCATCTAGAATATCCCCCAGTACCACTACACACCATAAAGAAAACTAACATGCAGAAACTGCAAGCAGTACAAAATAAGGTGCTAAGGAGAGTAGCAAAACACCGTCCACCATACGATCAGACAATCCAGGAGCTCCATGAACTCCTGAACATACAGCCACTAAACATCTGACTGCAGCACCAAGCCATCAGGGTGTGGAACACCATCCAAATGTTAGAGGACCCAATGTTTGAAAGATTACTCCAAGATGAGACGCCCCGCTCCCACAGTTGGTGGTCCAAGAGCCTCGATTCTCTGGATGAAAACCCCGCCCCACAGTATATAATCCCCAGATGAGATATATATGTGTATATATGAACAGTTCATATATGGGTATATTTGAACAACTCGATAAATAATAATATGTGTGTATGAACAACTTGATAAATAATAATAATAAAACAAAGAGCCTTAAACAGAACAACATGTGTGGAAGCATCGGAGTGTGTATATATGAATGCTACACAGTATTCATCTATAGACATCCATATATGGTGAAACACATGTGAAGAACCTCTCACACACTCACAGCTCCCTGACAAGAGGGAGCCAGCTTAGCTTAGCTGCCAACACCCACACATCGTGTCAGCAAGGCGGACAGCCTGCCTGCTTTCATACCTCTCACTGTATTTCCCACTTCTATACTTCCCTTCACCTATGCCTCTCCTTCCTCTTTACTTCAAAAAAAAAAAAAAACTCCCACTCTCCTGCTCCCAGCACCACCACCCCTCCCACACCCCTGCTCCCAGCACCACCACCCCTCCCACACCCCTGCTCCCAGCACCACCACCCCCTCCCACACACCTGCTCCCAGCACCACCACCCCTCCCACACCCCTGCTCCCAGCACCACCACCCCCTCCCACACCCCTGCTCCCAGCACCACCACTCCTCCCACACCCCTGCTCCCAGCAGCAACACCCCTCCCACACACCTGCTCCCAGCACCGCCACCCCTCCCACACCCCTGCTCTCAGCACCACCACCCCCTCCCACACACCTGCTCCCAGCACCACCACCCCTCCCACACCCCTGCTCCCAGCACCACCACCCCTCCCACACACCTGCTCCCAGCACCACCCACAGTAGTGTCCCCCCCCCCCCGCGTTATTACTGTGCACCTCCCAGCTGTACATCTTCACTCCACCCGGATCCACCTCGGGCGCGCCGCGCTGGGCAAGGTCGTCACGGTGTGCGCTTGGCAACCCTGTCGCCTGGCGTGCTTGCCGCCTCCGTCGACCGTTCGCCTGGCGTGCTTGCCGCCTCCGTCGATCGTTCGCCTGGCGTGCTTGCCGCCTCCAGTCGATCGTTCGCCTGGCGTGCTTGCCGCCTCCGTCGATCGTTCGCCTGGCGTGCTTGCCGCCTCCAATCGATCGTTCGCCAGGCGTGCTTGCCACCTCCGTCGATCGTTCGCCTGGCGTGCTTGCCACCTCCGTCGATCGTTCGCCTGGCGTGCTTGCCACCTCCAGTCGATCGTTCGCCAGGCGTGCTTGCCACCTCCGTCGATCGTTCGCCTGGCGTGCTTGCCACCTCCGTCGATCATTCGCCTGGCGTGCTTGCCACCTCCAGTCGATCGTTCGCCAGGCGTGCTTGCCACCTCCGTCGATCGTTCGCCTGGCGTGCTTGCCACCTCCGTCGATCGTTCGCCTGGCGTGCTTGCCACCTCCGTCGATCGTTCGCCTGGCGTGCTTGCCACCTCCGTCGATCGTTCGCCTGGCGTGCTTGCCACCTCCGTCGATCGTTCGCCTGGCGTGCTTGCCACCTCCGTCGATCGTTCGCCTGGCGTGCTTGCCACCTCCAGTCGATCGTTCGCCTGGCGTGCTTGCCGCCTCCGTCGATCGTTCGCCTGACGTGCTTGCCACCTCCGTCGATCGTTCGCCTGGCGTGCTTGCCGCCTCCAGTCGATCGTTCGCCTGACATGCTTGCCGCCTCCAGTCGATCGTTCGCCTGACATGCTTGCCACCTCCGTCGATCGTTCGCCTGGCGTGCTTGCCACCTCCGTCGATCGTTCGCCTGGCGTGCTTGCCACCTCCAGTCGATCGTTCGCCTGGCGTGCTTGCCACCTCCAGTCGATCGTTCGCCTGGCGTGCTTGCTGAAGGAGGCATTCGTGCAAAATTCGGTGTTAATTTAATGCCACCACCAAAATTCGGTGGTGGCAGCCTCCCAACACTCTCCATCCCTTACGAGATGGAGTGTGTTGGGAGGCTGCCCATTCTAGATGTAACAGTCACGGAGAGGAATGGCGGCTTCCACACTGCAGTCTACAGTCTACACTAAGGAAACGAACACAGGAACGTGCCTCAATACCAACAGTGACTGCCCAGAAAGGTACAAGTGAAGTGCATACGTCGACCGAGCCCTCACTCACAGCTCTGGTTGAAAGCAGGTCGGTGAAGAACTCTGTAGGGTAAGGCAGGTCCTAGTCAACAATTCCTTTTTTTTTTTTTTTTTTTTTGAGATATATACAAGAGTTGTTACATTCTTGTACAGCCACTAGTACGCGTAGCGTTTCGGGCAAGTCCTTAATCCTATGGTCCCTGGAATACGATCCCCTGCCGCGAAGAATCGTTTTTTCATCCAAGTACACATTTTACTGTTGCGTTAAACAGAGGCTACAGTTAAGGAATTGCGCCCAGTAAATCCTCCCCGGCCAGGATACGAACCCATGACATAGCGCTCGCGGAACGCCAGGCGAGTGTCTTACCACTACACCACGGAGACTGCACGACTCCTTCGCTAACGGTTGTGTTGAAGACGTCATTAAAAGAAAGGTGAAATGCCATCCAACCTCTGAAGAGTCAACTAACACAACACTTGTACCTCCTATTAGACTGTTTTACACGAACTTCTTTTCGACGGCTCATAAAAAGGAAGAAAATATCCTGAAAGATATCATTAATAGGAACGTTTTCCCCACAGACACAAATCAGAAGATACAATTAACAATTTACTACAAAATAAAAAAAACGGCCAACTTACCCATGAAGAACTCTCCAGACATTAAACAGAAGACATCAAACAGAACGCCTTGAAAGAAACCAAGGTCGTCTATGCCTTCACATGCCCACTTGGGGACTGTCAACTCCAAAGATCAAAGTATATGGGCAAGACATCAACTTCTCTTTCTAGGCGATTAACAATGCACAAACAACAGGGCTCCATCAAGGGGCATATAATCTCCTCACACAATCAGACCATCACCAGACAAATCTTAACAAGCAACACAGGTGTCGATAGATATAACGACATCAGGAGACTCGACATCAGCGAGGTGCTACACATCAAAAATTCAACACCAGTAATCAACACAAAATTACATTCCACTTCATGACCCCGAACCAACATGTTTCTTTTTACTGTCGATGGTAATTGAAAAATCAATTCTCCCAAATTCATTTCTATTTCAAGTCTAACGCGACGCTTGAACGCGTTTCATAATAACTTATTACATTTTCAAAGACTTTAGTTTACACACACACACAACTGTAACCTGAAAACACTAAACAGAGTTTTACTTATGCCAACACAACAGCTTGTCTTATATACTCGCACTTGGGTGAGGTGATATGTTGCAACAGTTTTGGATGAGGTGAACAAACTTTTGACCAACACAAGACAGAACACGGAACAATGGGTATTAATTGGATAAATGAGAGGAAAGAATGGAAGTAACTGCAAAGGGCCTATTGGCCTATACTTCATCTTGATGCTTCTATATTGGTAAGGAGTCTTGAAGTGGGTAGAATACAGTTGTGCATTAATTGGCTATTGATTGCTGGTGTTGACTTTTTGATGTGTAGTGCCTCGCAGATGTCGAGCCGCCTGCTATCGCTGTATCTATCGATGATTTCTGTGTTGTTTGTTAAGACTTCTCTGGTGATGGTCTGGTTGTGGGAAGAGATTATATGTTCCTTGATGGAGCCGGTCGGCCGAGCGGACAGCACGCTGGTCTTGTAATCCTGTTGTCCTGGGTTCAATCCCAGGCGCCGGCGAGAAACAATGGGCAGAGTTTCTTTCACCCTATGCCCCTGTTACCTAGCAGTAAAATAGGTACCTGGGAGTTAGTCAGCTGTCACAGGCTGCTTTCTGGGGGTGGAGGCCTGGTCGAGGACCGGGCCGCGGGGATACTAAAAGCCCCGAAATCATCTCAAGATAACCTCAAGATGAAGCCCTGTTGCTTATGCATTGTTAATCGTCTGGAAAGAGATGTCGTTGTCTTGCCTATATACTGACTTCTTTGTGGCTTACAGTCCCCAAGTGGGCATTTGAAGGCATAGACGACGTTAGTCTCCTTTAAGGCGTTCTGCTTTGTGTCTGGAGAGTTTTTCATGAGTAGGTTGGCCGCTTTTTTGGTTTTATAGTAAATCGTCAATTGTATCTTCTGATTTTTGTCTGTAGGGATAACGTTTCTATTAACAATATCTTTCAGGACCCTTTCCTCCGTTTTATGAGCTGTGGAAAAGAAGTTCCTGTAAAATATTCTAATAGGGAGTATAGGTGTTGTGTTATATGACTCTTCATAAAGGGTACTCCAGCAGGGGTACTCCAGCAGGGGTACTCCAGCAGGGGTACTCCAGCAGGGGTACTCCAGCAGGAGGTACTCCAGCAGGAGGTACTCCAGCAGGGGTACTCCAGCAGGGGTACTCCAGCAGGGGTACTCCAGCAGGGGTACTCCAGCAGGGGTACTCCAGCAGGGGTACTCCAGCAGGGGTACTCCAGCAGGGGTACTCCAGCAGGAGGTACTCCAGCAGGAGGTACTCCAGCAGGGGTACTCCAGCAGGGGTACTCCAGCAGGGGTACTCCAGCAGGGGTACTCCAGCAGGGGTACTCCAGCAGGGGTACTCCAGCAGGGGTACTCCAGCAGGGGTACTCCAGCAGGGGTACTCCAGTAGGGGTACTCCAGCAGGGGTGCTCCAGCAGGAGGTACTCCAGCAGGGGTACTCCAGTAGGGGTACTCCAATAGGCGGTACTCCAGCAGGAGGTAATCCAGCAGGTGTACTCCAGCAGGAGGTACTCCAGCAGGAGGTACTCCAGCAGGAGGTACTCCAGAAAGGGTACTCCAGCAGGGGTACTCCAGCAGGAGGTACTCCAGCAGGAGGTACTCCAGCAGGAGGTACTCCAGCAGGAGGTACTCCAGCAGGAGGTACTCCAGCAGGAGGTAATCCAGCAGGAGGTACTTCAGTAGGGGTACTCCAGTAGGGGTACTCAAGCAGGGGTACTCCAGCAGGAGGTACTCCAGCAGGGGTACTCCAATAGGCGGTACTCCAGCAGGAGGTACTCCAGCAGGGGTACTCCAGCAGGAGGTACTCCAGCAGGGGTACTCCAGCAGAGGTACTCCAGCAGGAGGTACTCCAGCAGGGGTACTCCAGTAGGGGTACTCCAGCAGGGGTACTCCAGCAGGAGGTACTCCAGCAGGGGTACTCCAGCAGGAGGTACTCCAGCAGGAGATACTCCAGCAGGAGGTACTCCAGCAGGGGTACTCCAGCAGGAGGTACTCCAGCAGGGGTACTCCAGCAGGAGGTACTCCAGCAGGAGGTACTCCAGCAGGGGTGCTCCAGCAGGGGTACTCCAGCAGGAGGTACTCCAGCAGGGGTACTCCAGCAGGAGGTACTCCAGCAGGGGTACTCCAGCAGGGGTACTCCAGCAGGAGGTACTCCAGCAGGGGTACTCCAGCAGGGGTACTCCAGCAGGGGTACTCCAGCAGGGGTACTCCAGCAGGGGTACTCCAGCAGGGGTACTCCAGCAGGAGGTACTCCAGCAGGGGTACTCCAGCAGGAGGTACTCCAGCAGGAGATACTCCAGCAGGGGTACTCCAGTAGGGGTACTCCTGCAGGGGTACTCCAATAGGCGGTACTCCAGCAGGAGGTACTCCAGCAGGGGTACTCCAGCAGGAGGTACTCCAGCAGGGGTACTGCAGCAGGAGGTACTCCAGCAGGAGGTACTCCAGCAGGGGTACTCCAGCAGGAGGTACTCCAGCAGGAGGTACTCCAGCAGGGGTACTCCAGCAGGAGGTACTCCAGCAGGAGGTACTCCAGCAGGAGGTACTCCAGCAGGGGTACTCCAGCAGGAGGTACTCCAGCAGGAGGTACTCCAGAAAGGGTACTCCAGCAGGGGTACTCCAATAGGCGGTACTCCAGCAGGAGGTACTCCAGCAGGGGTACTCCAGCAGGAGGTACTCCAGCAGGGGTACTCCAGTAGGGGTACTCCAATAGGCGGTACTCCAGCAGGAGGTACTCCAGCAGGGGTACTCCAGCAGGAGGTACTCCAGCAGGAGGTACTCCAGCAGGAGGTACTCCAGCAGGGGTACTCCAGCAGGAGGTACTCCAGCAGGAGGTACTCCAGAAAGGGTACTCCAGCAGGGGTACTCCAGCAGGAGGTACTCCAGCAGGGGTACTCCAATAGGCGGTACTCCAGCAGGAGGTACTCCAGCAGGGGTACTCCAGCAGGAGGTACTCCAGCAGGGGTACTCCAGCAGGGGTACTCCAGCAGGAGGTACTCCAGCAGGGGTACTCCAGTAGGGGTACTCCAGCAGGGGTACTCCAATAGGCGGTACTCCAGCAGGAGGTACTCCAGCAGGGGTACTCCAGCAGGAGGTACTCCAGCAGGGGTACTCCAGCAGGAGGTACTCCAGCAGGAGGTACTCCAGCAGGAGGTACTCCAGCAGGGGTGCTCCAGCAGGGGTACTCCAGCAGGAGGTACTCCAGCAGGAGGTACTCCAGCAGGGGTACTCCAGTAGGGGTACTCCAGCAGGAGGTACTCCAGCAGGAGGTACTCCAGCAGGAGGTACTCCAGCAGGGGTGCTCCAGCAGGAGGTACTCCAGCAGGGGTACTCCAATAGGCGGTACTCCAGCAGGAGGTACTCCAGCAGAGGTACTCCAATAGGCGGTACTCCAGCAGGGGTACTCCAATAGGCGGTACTCCAGCAGGGGTACTCCAGCAAGAGGGTACTCCAG